CGTTACAAAATGGTAACTTTTACTTCCGTTTAAAAATTTGTATAACATGTAGTATTTGGGCTGTAAACGAATTAAAACATTATAGCGCCATTTTTGAGGGTGTTCAGCGGCTCCAAGAGCAATTTCATCTAGTTCTGTACAGCCATGACGACTTTATAGACAAAAAATTTCAGAATGGCAATGTGGGGTTATTTGGCCGGGACTAGCGGGGTAACTTGGCCGGTGCGCTCAGAGTCACTATGCTGGGACGGCCGAGTTGTCATGGTCAATTATACCATAAAGGACATAATTCATGACCAAATTTGACTACCTTGATGCCATATTTCCTATTGGACAGCTGTAAGGGCATGTGACGTCATCAAAGGCTACCTAACGCTTTTTTGCTAATAAATACTTACAGAAAAAAAGATACAACCGCGCAAATGGTCTCATTGTGTTCAGCTCGTCAAGGAGCATCGAATGATATACATGATGACCTTGAACTCACGTAACCTTGAGGTCAAGCGACCTGAAGTAACGAGACCTGAAGCCAACCTTGACCTTGACCTTGACCTTGACCTTTCGAGGTCAACACATACATGTTTCGATGCGGAATGACGAGAGAATTACGATGGTGTTTTTAGTTTTGGCCTAACTTGATTACTTCAAAAGTTATTCGTAAAAAACTGTCATCGCATCTAGAGCCGCTATTTTGACTATTTTCGACCCCTGTGACGGCTGAGTCAACCTCCAAAATGCTTCAAATGCGTCGTAGGACACGCGTCATTGCTGAATGTGAAGCTGACTCGCCTATAACAAAAATAATGGCCTCAAACTAACACCGGCCAAATTGCCCCACACCCCCGGCCAAATAACCCTGCTAGTGGGGCAATTTGGCCGCTTTGCAGACCTTTGTAATCCGCCACAATTTCAATATAAGTAGTTACTCAATCATTTCAAGTTTACTGTCCAAGAAAGTAAAATGTATGCCACACCTGTCCGCGTTGAGAAAATGCAGAAATGTGTTGTCGATTTTTAGTTACATCGTTTTCTAAAAAAAGCGGCCAAATTACCCCACTCTCCCCTATGTCACTTATAGTGCAGAGGGCATCTTCCCCAACGCCAGGGGGCGTCTTTCCCACCCTGTGGGGTAAGATGCCCCCTTTCACTTCTTCGGGAAAATGCTTAATAGCAAAAAAAGTTATCATATTTCAGGCACGAAAGTGTGATATTTTTGGAGAAAAATGATGTCGGCTTCCGTTGAAACTCCAAGTTTTTGCTTTCCGAACGTCATTTTCGTATAATATATGACATAGTAAAACCCTGGGCATCTTTCCCCACTCTCCCCTAACTCTTGATTGTGATGCTCTTATTGACCTCTGAGCTTTATTATGTCCTGTGATCGCGCTATTTTACGTAACGTCACATCCGGTCACGTGACTGCCTGCGGCCACTCCCAGGTCTTCACAGCCGGCCTCGATAAGCGGCCGCGCTGGCCGCGGCTCGGCCGAGTCCGTGTGACCCGGTAGAGGGGGCCGGCCTCGACTGTGGAGCGGGGTGCGGGGTGCGTCCCCCAGCCAGCCGGCCGCCGTGACTGGGTGCGCCCTGCGGGTGGCCCGTGACTCGTGACCCGGCGGCCGGCCGACCTCGGCTCGCCGTCTGATGATCGATAGGTCGTGAGAGAGTCTCCGTGGCGCCCGTCACACGCCGGGGTCGAGACGGGACGGCACGGATGGCCGGCCGAGGTCTGGGCTGAACGGGTTATAGCTCGCCTCACACGCGAAGGCTGAATACTGCGCCTGAGAGACGAGACAGGTGCCGCGTGCGGTTTTGTTATGCTCGACCTTACCTCAAGTATGCATGCTGGGGTTATTTTGGCATATAAGCGCGCTCCGAAGTTGATCATGTAGGTAAGTCTGTTGACACACTTACCGTTTGTAATCCAGTCCATGTTCTATCGACCGTTTCCACTGGGCTTATATGGGTGGGCGCCAAAGTGTTCTGTGTGTCCGGCTCGGTCCCAAATTCAGTCCAATGGACATGGTTGAGCTGGCTGTGGTCCAACTAACAACAGATGCCGATACCCTGTCATTCACGTAAGCCATGCCATGCCCAAAGACATTAGTTACGCTGACGGTTGATTGGAACGACATGAACTAATTCGACCATGTTTTGAGATTTCATCACACTTCATTTCGTGTTATTTCTGGAACAGCTTACTTGAAGCAAGTGTGAGTAAATGTTATTTAGAATGGACTTTACCTGGCTGCACGATGCATACCTAATAATTACCTATGTCGTAAAAGCCTCACAACGGGTTGCATATTTCTACCACTTATTAAATACGACGTTACGCACGCGACTCATAATAACGGAATGTCTTCCATCCGCTATAATTGTCGACACGCGCAACGACTGGCCGTTATTCGGCAACAAAGGGCACTAAGTGTCACGGTCGCTGCGTTCGGAGCGTGTCTGTCAGTTGCAGGCACGTGCTGTCCGGTCCTCCGCCCCCACTCTGCTCGTGCTGCGTTCTCGGTGTCAGCCCTCTGCGGCGTGGCGCAGTGTTCCTCTGACCCCTGCCGTCGTGACCGGTGCCCGTGACCGCCGTCCTGCAACGGGTACCAGCCTCTCCCGCTATTGCACCAGAATACGAGTTCCCACTCCCTTGGTGGCCGGAGGGGTGGACAATTGGACATCTGTTCCGGCGGCGGTCCTACGCCGAACACGGCTCGGCGGCGCCGTCACCGCCGCGAGCCGTGACACGGGCAACGCACCGCTGCCCGCTCGGCGAGGCTGGCGGCTCCACTTAGCGGGCACCGGGGCACACCCGCGGGTCAAGGCCCCACTGGGAGCCGCGGGCGATCGGAGACCGTTGGTCCGGTGAGTGCGTTCCGCCTCGTTTGACAAACGATAGCTGCACTCAAGCTGGTCACGGAGAGTGGTTCTCAGAGCTCCGGTGTCGTGTCTACTGTCTAGTTCCTCCAAGAACCAGCGTCGTGGTATACTTCTCAAATAAATCAGGTATTTTCCGAAGTACAGGTGTCTTATCGCCATGAGAGGTTGTTTTAGATGATGGCGTGACGGGCCTCATAATGCCGATTGAAAGGGAGCACAGAAAAAGCCGATCGTGACATTGTTGGATAGCGATACGGCGCCACTGTGCGAACTGATCGTGGGAACGGCAGGCAAAGTCGCCGGACTGAGTGGCGTCACGAAGGGAAACGAGAGGAGTGTCGCCACTCGCCACAGTCCGTTCGCCGGCCTCCGGAGACCGATCAGGTTCTCATAGATTGATACAAGAATGGCAAGAGTGGCAGTGCTAAGAGAAAGGCTGCCACTTGGCCAGGCGCGACCGAACAAGTGTTCAAGCAATTGAGTTATGTTGCACAATGGTTTTGCCACAAAATAGTTATTAAGTCATCCACTACATGCTATGAGGATGAACATTCAAGCTCTTCTAGGTCCCGATAACGTCGGGGGAGTACCGATAAGAGTCGTACGCTCCCCATATCGCACCAGTCTTTCCGGTGACAGCCGCCAGCGCACCTGTTGCCTTCGTAAGAGCGGCCTCTGTTCAGAGCACCACACTGGCGCAGTGGGCCACTCACGAGCCGCGCTCATCTGGCCCATTTCTGGCCGTGACCCATTGGCGGCGCATCTGGCGCGACAGCCCCGCTGGGAGGCTGATTTGGCCCTTTTGTCCGCGCCGCGCCTGGCTGCGGCTCGAGCTGTGCTGAAGCGCTGGTCAGGGATGCCACCCTGTCATCGCTCCCGGGGATGATGCCACACCCGGCCGGGTGGTCCGACCATCTCTGTGTGCGTCAGAGGTCGTTTGGGAGGCCGGGGAAAGGCGGAGCGGTGCGCGGTGATGACCGCCGTCCCCGCGTCGGCCACACGTCGGGCCCGGTCGTTGTGAAGCGTCCGTGTGGGCCTAAACGACGGGGCGTGCCGGCGTCTGTTGCAACGGGTCGAGGGCCGTGTGCGCGCGGTGGCGGCGCGGCGCGAGGCGGCGCAACGAGGCTATTACGGCGCTCCCATCACAGAGGGCCATCCGGAGGCGCCTGTCGTAACGCCGCGCGGGACAGCGGCACCACGCAGGGTGTTTGTGAGGCGCCGATGGCACTTGGCGGCCCGGTGCCACCACCATCAGACGCTCGTTTAACCGCTATTGCTCAGTTTTAGTCGGCGATCAGGATGGGATAGGCGATGAGACGAAAGGAATTCAGCTATGTAATCTAACTACATACACGCAGGGAGGGAATGGCCGCACCTCTCCTCCATCCATCGACGCCAGGGATGTCCCATATTACCTGTTTAACTATTCCCTCCGTATAATGTGGCCAGGCGTGACGTGAGCGGCGAGCGGACCGCCTCACTCGGGAGAACCTGGCTGTGTTATTTATCCGTTACAAAATACGGGTCGCCGGGGTCAGGCAGACGCCGCATCCCAGGCATCAGCGGCCGTGATGAAACGTTGCACAATGGGCCGGTCGGCTGGCGGCGCGGCGATGAGGTCGGGTCGGGTCGGGTCGCGCCAGGGTCGCGGCACGATTCCCGGGGCCGTGCGATGCCACCGCCGCCGGCAGGGCCGCCTCATGACGCGCCGCGCCGCTCCGGAGCTGGCCGACCTCTCGACAAACGGCCCGGTGAAGGGAGCGTCCGATCACGAAAACCGCCGAGGATGTTCTGAGCCGTGCACGAGCCGGGTGTGTCAGAGCGGAGCAGGAATACGAATGGCACTCGTGACACCGGGGAACCGTTGGGTGTCGGAAAGGTGCAGTTATTGAAACGTATTGCAGTGGCCTCAGCTCCAAACGTGACTAGATCCAAACCTGTTTGACCTGTAGGTGAGCATCTTCCATCCAATGTCGACATCGGCCATGATAAGCCAATTTGCATCAAGGGTGACTTAAGCCAACCATCGCATGTGCCGTAACGCGTCAGTGAAAATTCATGAAAGTGTCATCCACTAATTAGTAATTACATCGGTGTCTAACGAAATATATCTCTGTTTGCAGGAGGAGCCTTTTGCCACAGAGCAGAGAGAGCGGCAGGTGAGTGTTCTACTGAAAGTGCAGCAGCCTTTGCCAAGAAGACAAACCTATGGTGACGGGTAATGCACCAACTGACTGACCAACTGACGCATGCCGCAGTAGTTTGCCCGAATTAGTCCCCCGCTGACGGGCTACGGCTCCCTTGGACTGTTGTCTGTTTCTTATCTGTCCTATCTCGCCTCGCAAAGCCGCGACTGGTCTGCCTCTGAAGCCGCCGAGCGGCACCGCCAACAGATATGTAAATCAGCAGTTAACGTCAAGGCGCGGAGAGAGAGAGAGAGAGCAGACCGTCCGGATTTGCCAGGCGATCGTTTGCACATCACTTTCTCCGCCAGAGACCTAGGACTGCATCAGACCGACTTGCGATTTCTCTTGTCCGACCTCCGTTTTATGTGCTATTTATATTTGACGTTAATGCGAATGAAGCACTTATTTTCTTTTAGACTGTGTTGCATGACAATTTTCTTCAGTTTTATACTCTTATCTGGACGACTTTCACCCCTTTTCCAAATGGACGACTTACCGTACAAAACAGCCTACCCACCTTAAATGGACTGTATTTACTTTGACGCTAAGACTAGGTCTAAAATCATTCTTATTCTAACTAAATCATCTTATTTTTATACCTGAGATATTAATGCTTGAACGAGCCCCATTTTCATGTTTGCCATTAACGTAATCAAATAAAGTTTACCTCACCGAACATGTCAGCTTCGTTTGGACATTGTTGTTCATAGGTATTTCGAAGAAAATGCTTCTAGCAAAAAGTCGAACCGTTTGTTATCTATTTATATTTGTATGCCACATTCTAAAAACAAATGTAAAATAGTTCTTCATCTTTACTATCTGCAACATCATATTCATTACACTTCTACGTCCGTGTATCAGATTGCAGCGCTTCTCCGTTTCTGTGCACGCTCTTGTCACACTGTCTGATGTTTATTGTCCTCTTCTCTGTTCTGTCAGATATTGAAGTGGAAGTGAATGGTGCCCTTACGACGTCCAAATACCTGACCACAACCCGTCCTCTGCCGACCGGCGTGCTCCTGTCCTCGGCTCCCACGTTCGTATCCGATGGCACCACCTCCGAGTACACGACACTCGTCGTCGGCACCGTGGCCAACGGCTACTACTCACGCATCGTCAGCACCGCCGAGCGCGTCTTCTACGCCATCGCGCGCACCGGAGAGCGGCCGCAGCCGACCGGGGTGGTCTCCGAGGCGGTCAACACCGAGGTGCACGGCGACGCCACGACCGTGCACCGGACGCGCTTCATCCGCACCTCGCTCGGCTCCCACTACGGCCAAGTGATCGAGCGGACCAGCTCCGTGCTGCCGCAGCTGGAGAGCAGCACTCAGGAGCCCGGGCTGCCCACCCTCACCATCGGCATGCCGATCAGCTACCCCAGCAAGGCGCCGCTGGTCACTGAGCTGCCCGAGGAGGTGAACGAGGTGCCCACGGCGCGGCGCGTCGTCCAGGGCGAGGAGGTGATCATTGTCGACGAGGAAGTGCGACCCTCACCCCCGCAGAGGCGCTTACCTACGTACACCGCCGACGAGGAGGGCTCTCTGCGCCTGGACGAGCCAGTGGTAGTCGTACCCAACCGCGCCTCTTTCCAGAAGACACAGGCGCTTCTCAACGAGAAGGTCAACAAGATGGTCAAGGATCTGAATCTAAAGGAGGGTAGCAACCGCGAGTCTCGTGACTTCAGTGACCTGGAGACAATCGAGATCCTGGACCTTGATCTGGCTCTGAGTGGCAGCGAGCTGACCACCGTCACGTACGTCGGCTTCTCCGACTTCATCACCACTATCGGCAGCACTGTGGTGGTCTTCATGCCTCAGTCCGCCGGCGCCGAGCAGATCCGCTCCAAGATCAGCAGGACTGCTCAGTTCGTGGGTCCCACGCGTGCCGGCAAGAGCGTGGTGTTGAGCCGTGCCCCTGTGTTCGTCCCGGACCAAGGAAATGTCATCACAACCACCCGCACCTTCGCATCAAACGACGCTACTTCCACGGTGACCCCCGACTCGGAGGCCACGAACGAAATTGCTGAGGAAGCTGCGCCAGTGAAGGACGATGGTGTGCTGTCCACTGCCAGCACCCGCGTGTACAACACCGTGGACCTGTATCCGACCGGTCTGGTGACCTCTATCGGCGGCACTGTGGCTCGTGAGAAGGTCACCACTGTCTTTACTACACTGGTGTACGGTACCTTCATCAAGGGACGTTACGCCAAAGTGGTGAAGAGCACGTCTAGCATCTATTTCCTGGTGTCGAAGACGGCCAACGTTGAGCCTACCGCGGTCGTGCAGTCCGCGTCCACCATCGCCGTCGACAGGGGCAACCTAGGCAGGGCCGTCGGCAGCAGAGCTGGAGCACAGGTCATTGTTGGCAGTGCAGAAGAGGCTAAGGCTGCTCTGAAACAGTCTCAACAACTGGAAGGAAGTCTGGCTCCGTCATCCGCCCCGCCTCTCTTCTCCTCACAAGCAGATGGTGAAGAGGAAAAGTCGGTGCTGAAAACGTATTACACGACGTTCACTTACTACACCACGCTTTCCAGTGGTGACCAGACTGAGGTGAAGACCAGTCTGAGCACTGTGACCAGTGTTGCTACGGAAGAATTACCCCGTCCGGCGCTAACTTACTTCACAACGTTCACATACTTCACTACATCGAGTGTTGACGGCAAGGAGATCGTTTCCACGCGATATGAAACCAAGTCACAGATCGCAGAGCCAACAAAGGCGCCAACTTCCACAGCGGTAGCGCCAGCCAAACTTGTTACGAAGACATTTTTCACAACTTACACGTACTTTACCACCTCACACTCTGGTGAGAGTAGCGTCGTCCAGAGCCGCCTGGTGGTCAGCAGCAACGTGGTGACATCGACTGTGCCCATCTCTGCCACTGCCACCTCCAACAGCCCCGTCAAGTCTGTGGATCCCACGTCTGCGACTCCAGCCATTCAATACAGCACTGGCCTCCTCTCGTCGCTCGTTTCATCAGAGGTCAACGACGGTGTCACCACCATTTCCTCGACGGGGTACTTCGGCACCTCAGTGCATGGACTGTATGCCCAGATAATCAAGAGTACTACCATGACTATTGACCCAGCATTGACACCCAGTTCTGTGGCGCCTGTTGCAGCCACTCCTGTCTCCGAGACGGCTGCTATAAGCACTTTGTCGTCTCAGAATCCCTCTGTTAGTGCAACTCCCACATTGGACAATCCAGCCTCCGAAACTGATCCGAGCTCTGCTATTTCCACGTCTCCTAAGAAGCTCCTATCATCCATCAGTGCTCAGATTTCCTCGAGCGCTGCATCTTCTTCCAGCCGCATTCAGTCAACCAACCGCAGCTTCCTTCCTTTCCGGACGTCCACGAAGCGTAAATCCAGCGGCCTGCTTGCCCTTCTAGCAGCCAAAAGGGCAGGATTGGGAGCACCTGAGCCGACTTCAGAGCCCACTAAACCTGAGCCTACAAGCACCGCAAACATCAACTCACCTTCACCCGTTGAGGACGCGGAGGCGACTGAAGCTCCACCTTCTCCAGTTTTGGAAGAAGAGCCTGCACCGACCTCCACCGAGCGACGTTTCCCATTAAGGACGCGCCGACCGTTCCCAGGACTTAGAAGACCGGGCGGTCGTCCTGGTCTACGCGGTTTGTTTAATCGAAACCAGCCTGAGGAGGAGGAGGAAGTGACTGAGCCGACTCAGGACGAAACCACCACGGTTGCCTCTGAAGTAGAAGAAGAGCCCGTTGATCCTACGGAAGAAGTCGTAATCGAGGAAGTAATTGAAACGACCACCGAAGCAGTGACTACTAGGCCCCCTCGTGTCCTCGCTTTCGGCAGAAATCGATCAGTTGGCGGAACCCGTAACGCATTGCCTCTGCGCCGTCGCCCAAAGCCTGGCGGAAGGGGTGGTCTGATAAGTCGCTTCTCTTCGGTGATTGCTGGAGGAGAAGAGACCACCACGACAACTACTACGACCACTACCACTGAAGCTCCTACAGAGCCCCCGACTGAGCCTCCTACTGAACGTCCCACAAAGCCTGAAGAGCAGGAGGAACTGACTGAAATCACTCCAAGACGAGTTCGCGGCCGCGGTCGTGGACGTTTGGCCGTGAGGGGGCAGCCTCAAACCATTAGGCGCACTGTGAGAAGAAGAAGGCCTATACGTGGCAGACGGAGACGACCGGTGGAAGAAAATGATCTGCAAGGCGCGGGATCTGAAGTATACGAACAATACGTCGCCGCCGAGCCGCTTCCGGAGCACAACAATTTTTTTGAACAGAACCATTTTTTAGATGATGCTGGTTCCGAAGTAGCTGTGGTCGTCTCTGACGTCGACCCCCTTCAGGCTGCCGCCGAAGGCGCGATTCTGTCGCGCACCAAGCGTCAGTCCAGCTTCGGAGCCAGGAGCAGGTCCCGCGCCTCTCGCGGGGATTCTCTTTCAAAGCAAGAAACACTTATCGAGGCAGCTGATCACTCTGTCTCGTCCACTGGTACTCGTGCCCGGCGCCAGAATCGCGGTCGCACTAGAGCCAGAAACAGTCGTCAGTCAGAGGCAAACAGAGGGCGCAACGTCGACCCTACGCCATCTGAGGACACCAAGGAGAAGTTCACCCTGACATCCGGTCGGTCGCGCGGCTCGTCACGCTCACGCTCTCGAACAGGCTCCTCTCGAACCTCGTCTAGCAGCACGCGCAGGGCCATTCCGGGTTCTAGAAGAAATCGTCCTTCGTCTAGTTCAGGAAGCGGTTCTGGTCTCGCAGTAAGTCTCCGCCAGCGTCTCCAGCAGGCTCAGGTGGCAGCTGCGGGCATCAGTGAACCACCTCGCGCCACGACCCCAGAGCCAGCACCATCACGTGGCACATCCAGCCGTGGCTCATCCTCACGCCGGCCCTCACCACGTGGACCGTCCGGCAGCCGCATTCGGCAGCGTCAGCCTCTGTTCGGACAGGATCGCACTCGCGATCCTCCAGATCCTGAGCCCGAGATCATCCCAACGCCCGTGCTGGACGAAGGTCAGATCATCGTAGTCTCCGCTGAGCAGGTGGCCGTCTCCATCCCAGTTATAGCTGATGGCCGGACGTCGTTCCGCGATGTGTTTACGGCAAACACCGTCACCAACACCCTGGAGCCGGGCCAGTACACGGAAACTGAGGTAAATGGTGAAATGCGCACGCACGTAGGAACAAAAACGGCTGTTGGAAGCGGCGGTCAGACCGAGCTGTCCACCCTTTATCTAAGTCCCACTGAAATCAAGACATCACTCCGTATTCCCACCAAGATTCGTGGTCGCATCTCCAACGTGCGTTCGACCTACACACAGCCGGGCTTTACCGTCGTGCCCGAAGTGAACACAGTGAGCGCCGCTCAGATTCAGCCATCCCCGGCCTTAGCTAACAACAACAACCCACTGACTGCCCTTCTGCAGCAGCTACTGGCCAGTCAGGGTCAGCCGGCTCCTGTGCTGTCTGGCTCATTTAACGCCCCGGTGGCTGCGCCTCCACAGCAGGCCTTCCGCACGGTCAGCTACACCACGTCATACGTAACCACTGTGACTGAGTCGGACTTCACCACGGTACCGATCTTCTTCCAAGGCAGAAAGACCCACACAGTGATCATCAACTCCGACGTACAGGTGATCACTGCCACGGAGGTGATAACCTCCACCGAGAGGATCCCGGGACAGACTGCCGCCCCGGCTGCCGCGTTTGGTGGTCTCGGCGTCGGCCTGGGCGCTCTCGGTGGTCTGACGCCACAACAGCTGCTGCTACAGCAACTGTTGAATCAGCCTCCCAGGCTGCAGCTGCCCGCCATCCAGCCGACTGCCGCACGAAGTTTGTTACCTCAGAGTCAGCCACCGCCACAGCTGGAAGAGCTGCTGCGCCAGGCGACGGAAGTGGACCAGCAGCAGCCCGCAGCCCAACAGCAGCCGGCCTCCACGTCTGTCGTCACCATCTTTGTCAGTGGCTCCAAGCCTGGTGAATTCTTCACGCGGTTGTCGACAGTGACGCTGGACGGACCTGAGGTGACTCGCATCAAGCGGGGTCAGCTGCCGACCGCAGCAGTACGTCCCACAGAGATACCGGCCTTCATAGAGACCGACCAAGGCCTTTTCAAGGTACCAAAGAATGCACAAGTTTTCGGCGACCTTGATTTCTACGTTATGTCAGCGATGAATGAGATTGAACCAGACATGATTAAACTTGGCGCCACTCAGACCTTGGAAAGCGTTAAGGGGAGCAAGGCAACTCGGTATCGAGAAAAAATAATTGACGTGGCGCCATCGCTCACGGATCGTCCCTCTTCTAAGACGAATTCTTTTTTATGGGAGGGCCCCGCTGAGTCTGCCCCACTCAGACGGGAGAAGCGCCAAGCCACCAGGGGTCGCGATGGATCTAACGGCAATGACCCGGAATTCGCTCCATTGAACAATGCTCAAGTCCGACGCATCAAAGCACCGGAGTTTACAACCTATACTTATGATAACACGGTGACCGATGAGTTTGGCAGTATTATTGTGAAGAGTACGCAGCATGTGCTTCCGAAACTCAGAACATATAGCAATATCGAGTTTGTGGAGCTCACAAAACTCGGTGCCAAACCTACTTTATCAGAAAACCTATTGTTTGGCATTCTACAAACTGAGGTTGATTCAATTACCAAGACGCTTACGGCACGTGCATCTGCTCGAAAATCGCTCAGAGGCGGTCAGTATCGGTCTAGTGGACTTCAGACTGCCAGAAGAACAAGCGCCTCAAGTCGTCAAGGCAATCGCGGAAGAACAAACAGCGTTGCCGGCTCAAATGCTGCTGTAAGAAACGAAGGAAGCGTTAACGTTAGTAGAAAGAGGAATCCGCTGACTGAAAAGGATGAGAAAGCAGATGCTACAACATTACGCTCATCCTTTCAAGAGGAGATAACAACAGCTATAGAAGGACCCTTCTTAACAACTCCTCTTCCACCAAAAGAACAGTTGCTCCCCAAAAATGATGATAGCGATGAGGTAAATAACAAGATTACTTTAGAGAAGAATGGACCAGAAGATTTCCCAGGCCCTTCGTTTTCAAGGGGAAGTAGACGTCGTGCTCCGATTGAAAGTAAGACAAAACAAGTGTCTCTCCCCAGTGATGTTACCATATCAACCTCTTCCAAACCGCTGACATCAGGTGCTGACGCAGAAAACGTGATTCAAGATGATATCCAGCCAACAACTCGTGGTCGTCGCGTTCGGGTACGCACACGTGAGAGAAAACCACAAACAAGTGGAGGTGCATTACCTTCAAATCAGAGTAGGTCAAGGAATTCTGAAAGTGGTAGCGAGAAAACACCATCTCAAAACTCTCGTGCAGAATCCAGCAATGAATCAGAAAACATCACTAGCAGGAGAACGGCGACCGTTTTGAGTCGTGAAACCATAAGAAATACAGTAGTTCCTGTGCAAGGGTCAACAAAGCGAGGAAGAGGGCGATTTCGAGCAAACAGCTTCACGACAAAGCAGCCAGTAGTCAGACCTACACCTGATACCCCTAGGGAGATCGAACTTTCGACACCGGCAAACTTGAAGCAAGGTGTTTTGACAGATGGTGGGATCAAAGCATTAGATTTGTCCGAGATTTCCAAAGAAGAAAATAGACCAAGAACTGTTTCACCTGAATCCACCGTACAAACGACATCAAGCAACAATATCCCGAGTATTTCGTCGTCTACAACTGCCTCTCTGCCTGAATCAGATACAACTTCCCCAGAGCTTTCGTTGATAGACGACATCGACACGGTAGAAGACAACGAAATAATTCCAACGGAGGCAACAACACCTCTTCCTGTGGAAACTAAGCCTACTAGGGGACGTCGGGTGCGAGTGAGAACTCGCCTGGTCGGAGGATCCAAAACAAGAAAACAAACTGGCTCACTGAAACCCGATAGTGTTGCAGTTGACCCGATTGAAGAAACAACTGAACCAAAGCAAAGTGAAAAAGAGCCGGAACAAGAAGACGACGCGGACAAAAAACAAAGCAGTGAAGGGAGGGTCAGTGGTGTTTCATCAGCGCCATCAACATCCCGCCGTCCGAGTTCTAGGAGACGAGTAGTTTCCCGAGCACGTCAACGTGTCAGAACCAAAATCATCAAAACGTCAAAAGATTCCCCTTCATCTGCGACCACCGAGGCAACAACAGAGGTGACAGCCGCGGACACCATTCTTGACGTACCCCAGTCAACTTCCTCAGCTGATCAACGCAGGATCCGTGTCCGTCTTCGCCGCCCTACGACAGAGTCGTCATCTCCAGCTTCATCGATATCGCTAGACTCCGCTACCAGTCTGAATGAAGGGCATAGCTCAACAACAGTTTCAGACATCAATGAGATAGAAGAAATTGAACATACAACAAGTTCTATTTCTGCCAGCCGAACAACCTCGACTGTCTCTCAGAGAACGGTACAACGGGGAACCAATCGGAGCCAATCTGAGAGTCGCACTCAGTCTAGCCTGGCAAATCCTGCAACATCCCGTCGGAACTTAAGACGACGGCCTACCCCAGCCAGTGCTGCAGCAACGACTAAGCGCCCTGGTGTAAGAACAGGAATAAAGAGAACTTCGGTGATCAGGAGGCGACCAGTGCAACCAAAAGAGAAAGATGAAGTTGAGCTTAGTAATGTAACTGAAAATGCATCCAGCGTTCCCCTTACACCTCAAAGAGCAGCATCTTCTCGTCGTGGAGGCACCAGAAGAGTTACACGAGTGAGAACCGTGGTGACGCCAACCAAACAAGTGACTACAGAACGCATTACTGATTCTGCAGGCGACTCTAACTTAGAGTCGCTTGAAGAATTCGAAGTTGATTCGCCAGCTGAACCATCCCCAGCCAAAGAAATTAACAGCCTTACGGCACGGAAAGTTCCCGACAGCAGAGATTCAGAAGACAGAGCAACTAACACTGCGAACAGACTCGGTGCTGGGAGTTCCTCTACTGGAGATACAACAGACGCAACTACAAATCTTGTGAGAAAAGTAAAAAAGATCAAAAAGATAGTGGTAGGTCAAGGAACTGAGTCTCAAGAGGAGATAAACGAGAAACCTGAAAATGCAAACAGGGCGTCACTGTTTTCGGCTCCGTCATCGCCAAGAAAAATTAAAAGCGAGGAAGACCAAGGCTCCAATGAGGCTGCTGATAGAAATGTAAAGCAAAGCTTCAGCAGGCGACGCAAGGTGAAACGAGTAAAATCTGTTTTCGTTCCAGACGAAGAAACTAAAGCTGCTGACCAGTTGCACAGTGTGAAACCGACATTAAGACGGCAACGAGTGCGTGTCACCCGCACTCGCACAGTGGCTCGGGTTGCAACTTCCATAACCAGTGCTGCGGTGCCTAAGAACGATAGAGATTCCAGTGGTGCGACTGACATCCGAGCTCAGACCCCTCGGAGGCAGAGAATACAGGTCACCAGACCTAGAGGTGGGCTTCGCCCCTCCGTGACACCGACCAACGCTCCGGAAGTTGTGTCTAGCCCGACTGAAGCCACAACGCAGCTGGGAAGCGGCAGATTCCGGGAAAGGCCAACCGTGTCCACCACAAGAAGCCGATCGAGAGGCAGAGTAACCTCGCGGCCAATAAGTCAGGAGGATGGTGCCGATTCTGATATTGCCACAGAAATTTCTACCAACTCGCTGTTCGATAAGGACACCTTGTCAGAAAACGATACACTGGATAACGAGGTTTCTACTCCTTCCAAGGACGAGGCAGCTTCTGTGTCGACTTCTGATGCACCAAAAGTACAAAGAAAGCGAGTTAGGAAATTGAAAAGAAAGAAAATAATTGAACCAGCTCAGTCATCAGACTTTACTACAGAATCTCCTCTTGAAGAGAATCCAACAGATAGCGCAGTGCGTCGTGGAAGCCGTCGACGCGTTGTGAAGGTTCGTCGACGATTCCCTACATCAGTAGCCGCCAGTACTTCTCCAGACGATGCAACAGCTGAAGACGAAACCACCAGAACGCCAGCATCTGCTGACGAACTTACAGATACCACTTTGGAAGCCACCACTACAGATACCACCTCGTCAGAGTCAGTTTCTGAAGCAGAGGCCTCGACTGAAATCACAGACACGGTCCGAACTACGGAAAGGCAGAGCCGAGACCCAAATCTGTTCAGTCGCTTCAATCGTCGACGAAGGCCTTCTACTGGTGCTTCACAGAACACTGTCGGTGCACGATTAGACCTGCCATCTGGCCGTGATAGTCGCAGAAACAGACTAAGACGTCCTGCATCTTCGGTGACCGCTACTGAAGAACCTGATGTTATTCTGTCGACTGAAGAGCAGGTTGAAGCCGCTACCGAGGTAGTTGATATCCAAGAGGAATCAACGACGACCATTGCCACGACTACCACCTCCACCACCACCACTGAAGGAAGTGAAGGCCTAGCTGATCTTCGCTCAAGGGTAAGACTGCCCTTCCGTTCTTCTCGTCGCCGACAGAGACCAACAGCATCTGAAGAGACGACAGCGGACAATGACAACTCCGCAGAAGCGGCAGATGAAGTGGATGACGAAGTGGACATTACCACCACTACCACTGAACGCTCTAGAAGCCTGTCTGGGTTCCGCTCCAGGAATCGTCTTCCAATACGTCCGAACCGACCCTCCCGTCCGTCTCGTCCTCAACGACCGAGATTACCAGCACTAACGGAGGAGAGCGAAGAAGGTTCTGTGACTACCGACAGTCAAGTCGTCATTGATGAGCCAGCTGATGTCACTACGGAAAGGACAAGAGGACGTTTCCGACTGGGCAATCGTCGTCCGTCACGGCCAACCCGTCCGTCACTTCCGCTGCGACCAACACCATCTCCACGCCGCAGACCTCTTCTCCGACTCTCGGACGAGGATAGCGGTGAAGAGATTGACAGCAACAGCAATGTCGATTCTACCACTGGGGAGCCTGATTCAAGACCAGACCGCGTACGGCTCCCTTTCAGGCAATCTACTGAGCGGCGGCGTCCGACCCGACCAGCATTGTTTGGACGACCTCGACGACCTTCTGTTTTCCAGAGGCTGGCTGGTGCAGTTCCATCTGAGGACAGCGCAGCTCGCATTCCCGAACGCACAGTGCCACGAACCTTAGATCAGAGAAGGAACGAAAACGAGCTTTTCGCTCAACGCCGACCCAGTTTGCCGAGCCAACAGGAAGCAGAGGAGGAGGAGGAGCAGCAGGATGACGTCACGTCTTTCATCACCACCACCACGGAGCGCGCCACAACGGCAGGCACCACCCCCAGACGAATTCCGTTCTTCCCTGGACTGGCCCGCGAACGGGACCCAACTCGCACTCGACGTCCGTTCATCAGTCAGTTCCGCCCCGCAACCACCTCGCGGCCACCTCTGCGGCAGAACATAGCCCCTGAAACTCGGCGACCACTCGCTACCGCAGCGCCGTCCTTACCAGACGATGAGAGCATAGACGAAGTAGAGACTGAAGACTTCTATGAAGAAGACATTCAGGATGACCAGATAGAAAATGGTGTATCGGACCCAGAGTCAGGCAGTGAAGAAGACATCGTTAGTGAAGATCTTCCCAGCAATGTGGTGTACCGCAAGTTCAGCACTGTCAGGCTGGTGGAGATCCTCGGCGGTCGTCAGACCTTGACACTGCCTGTGGTGACCTCCACGCTGACTACTCTGGCGCCCTCAGACCTCCACCTTCTCACCGACTCGCCAGGCTTGTTTGACGGAACCCTCAGCGTGGCGACACCGGCGGCAGTGCCGGCGGTGCGGGCCACTCGAACAGAACAGGACCGAACGGGTGCCACCCGCGCGCTGTTTGGTTCTCTGCCGGCGGCTCCCAGTCGAGAGTTCAAACCGTCTGCCACGGTCACGGCCGCTTCCGACGGACCCGTGTCGTCTGTAAGAGGTCTGGCAGGGAGGTTCTCCGTGGATGAGGAACAGCCGACTAGTGTGTCCGCTGTGAGCCGACCTCGGCCGACGGCCGCTGAGGGGACTCGACCGAGCTCACCAAGGCGACCGCCATTCCGCGTGGCAAGTCCATCAGGTGCGGACTCAGTGGAAGACGGTGCGACAGTCTCTTCGACGACTCCGGTCACAGCTGAGTCCAGCTCTCCGGTACGACCAGCAGTAGCTACCACGCAATCAACCACGCCTGACATTCAGTCTTCACTGAGTGAGAGTGATGTACCCGATGCAGGTGCCATCTCGGACGGCCGCACCATCCTGGCCTCCTCCTCCTCCTCGGCCCGCGCCACCCCCAGTCTGACCGTCCCCGGTCGGAGTCGGTTCTCCGGCGTCCCTCTCTTCCCCCGCCCCCGTCAGACGACATACAGAGCGGTCACCAGCTCCGGCACCGTTCTCATCTTCGGAGAGCTTGTAACCGGCCCAGGTGAGAGGCACGATCGCACAGCCAGTCGGCGATTTTCTACTCGAATGCAATGATCACTTCTTGAGCATTTCTTTATTGTCTCTTGTTGTTTCTGTCAAGTGTATTTTCAATCGTCTGTGGCGCTTCCTGTATGTTCATGTCAGCTGATTTGTTTGTGTGCGTGATATTTGTGTACACAATATTCGTTTTGTTTTGAGTGCTCCTTCGACTCAATTTCGACTGTTAGTTGGATATTCTGATTTATTGAGGCAATTTGAGTAAAGTTAAATTAGGATAATAGCCAAGTGTGAAACTACGAAGAGTTGAAAACATAAATGTATGCTTAAAATACTCAACGTTTTTATAGTTTGACAAATCTAAGAAGGGTAAGGTGAATGATGTCTCCACTCATCCTGAAAACAAACGCTTAACACTTGGTTGACATTTTGCAGCCATCAACCAGCGGCAATCGGAGTCTTCTTCTCGTCGATCACGTGAGTACTGTCACCTGTTGCTGGCTGGCGGTGCCGGTCAGTTTCACCTCTGACCGCGGTGCGCACACCTCCCCTCATATCCATTCAGACCCGCCGGCCTAACAAGCAGTGAGAGTGACCAGGCCTTGCGTCACGACCCTCGCGGCCCAAACATATTCGGTTCGGCGATTTCTCCCAGTCGAGCGGCCTCGACGAGTCGTCTGCAGAGGGTCCCGCAGCACGGACGCTCCCTTTGATCAGTATGCGTCGGGCGCGCCGGCACTGGCTGACAGGGTGTCCCTCCCCGGTGTGGGAGATTGCCTCACAGGGTGTGAAACCTCCCGGCCGCGCCGGGAGACGCACCTGAGTGGTAGAAATCGCCGGAAACGTGACAGAGGACAGGACGCGTCATTATCATAGCAGGAAACGATGGGATACGATGACTTTACTTTTTGTGAAATCGAGATCGTTAGGTAATCACTGTAGGAAATAAAGCAGACATCCTAGATGAAGAGACATATAAGTAAGTATGTAAGCGTAAGAGAAGTATTGAATTGACCCATGCCCATGTCACGTCCCGTTTTCAGCGTTCGGACGGACGGTGGCGGCCGAGGATGTCAGCCAGGTGCTGGCCACATCCGCACTCGTCACCGGCATAGCCACCAAGGTCATGAACAACGGGGTGCCCGTCCTGGTAGCAGGTGAGTTAGCACTCGAATATTGGAGCCGGCCGTCTGAAAACAATGCAGCTGGTAATTATGTTCTTGTATTTTGGTTGGGACATTACATCTATCTAGGAATTGCATTTTAGTTAAGCAATGTAATTATTACATCAAGGTTCTGAGGCTCAAACATCTTTCAGCGAGATGTTCATTGTCAAGCATGATTATTGCTCAATGCTCATTGCTAATTCTTTACACACAATTATAACGCATCCAAATGAAAATTTATACGGGCTAGAGAAATAACGGTTGGCTGTGAACTTAGAAAAAGTAAACAACAATAAGCGCTGATAATGTTATGTAATAACCAGCCTGTCAGCACGAGAATCGAACGTGTCGTACTCGTATGCTAATTTAATCAATTATATTGAAGTGTATCGGGATTAACAATGATCAGCCGTTACATAACACACCCATTCAGGATTTCCCCCAGCTGTGTTGTACGGGTCACACCCGGGCCACGGGGGCCGCAGTTACAGTTTCTCTCCCAGGATCTCTCCTCTCTGCGTGATGGATGGCGTGGGCGATAATTTCTGCTATTCTCGCCATCAATTCCGGCTACGGGTGTGTCCGACGTCACGAGAGGCTCGCCTCTCACATCAGTCTTAATTCAATCAGTGGAGCCATTTTGGCACGGCCACGGCGAGCGACTGAGGAGCAGGCCAAATTGGCGCTCAGTGCAAAACGGACCCCACGCACGCTCCCAGTAATCAATTATCTGATATGGTGGTTTGCATGAGCGGTGTGTCGGAATTCACCACCTCCTGATCTGTAGGTACTTGGCTGGGCTGGAGTCTCAAAAACTTATTGATAGTGACTTGGAGTTTGAGATAGCACGCTAACCAATACGCCTCCTCTCCTCTCCGCTTGTGGTTCAGATTGATCTTCGCGATCTGACCTGCATTCACCAGTGACCCGACCTGACCTGACCTGTGTCCTGTTTCCAGGGGGCGGCGTGCCGCCGGAGCAGGTGGTCAGTAACGGCCAGGTGGTGTTCAACTCGGGCACGCTGACCCTGCCGCCGGTGTCGCTCAGTGACGTGGTGTCGCTGATGCCCAGCTCTGAGACCGACCCCGAGGTAAGGCATTCCTCCCCGCCAGCCACTTCTCACCTTCTTTCGAGGTGAACCTCTTCCAGCTGCAGGCACTCACTGAACACACACACACACACACACACACACACACACACACACACACACACACACACACACACACACACACACACACACACACACACACACACACACACACACACACACACACACACACACACACACACACACGGCTTGCAGCCGTCACACCATTTCTCCGCATTTATAGCACTAATAAGGGTCACTTTTGGTAAAAGTTGACCGAAAATAACCAATTGCAGCTGAAAGTGTTAAGAGCATAAACTTTATTGAAAAGCAGTATTTATTCTAATATTTTTGTTCTGTTATGTCCATGTTTTTAGAAATAAAAGATGAAAAGATGGTCTTAGTGCGAGCCTAACGTGTAGGTCAGTCGCGGCCATGGGCGGGACAGGGCCCGGAGAAACCTGACTGACGGGTACGGGGGCGGCCCGGTCGAGACAGAACCGCTCCGCTGCGACAGTAGCAGCGCCAAAGGTTCGGTTCGAGAGGAGACCGGACCGGCACCGTGGCCTATATTGGCACCAACCAGTCCAATAACTACTTGAGCCGGATCTCGACTAGAGAGACGAACGGTCCGGTAGTGCAGCCAATATTGGCACCGTTTGGAACGCTATTGACTCCATGTTTGAAACGGGAGCTCAGTGGTGTCAGCGCTGAGCGCCGAAGGGCGGCAATGACAGGTGGCGTTACTACTTGGGGATTCTATTTTCGCCTTCGAATATCGGGTATAATGCAAAACATTATCTACATTTAGTATCAAGCGAAGCATCTTTGTTTAACGCCCTTTAGTGCTCGCCGAAGAACTCATATACCTAGGAATTAATTCCGATAAGGAAATTAAAACGAACAGGGATCTAGATGGCTTGCTGTACGCATTTATAATTATGCAAGACACCTATGAGATGCACTTTCGGCTGATAACATCAAATGATGCCATTCGATTCCAACGCGCACCACAAACTGCAATGTTACCTGGCCGATAACATAAAGACTGCAAATGAAACTCTGAACTGAGCAGAAGCAATGGGAGACTGCAAAAGTGAGTTGGTCAGTAACACCAGGAGACGGCAGTAGTGAATTGGACCGTAACACCAGGAGACTGCAGTAGTGAATCGGTCAGTAGCACTAGGAGACTGCAGTTGTCAGTTGGCCAGTAACACCAGGAGACTGCAGCTCTGAGTTAACCAGTAACATCAAGAGACTTGTGAGACTGCTAGTTTTGGTAGCCGACCTCCTGCTAACTCCATGTAGCTCGCCACTAACATACACTGATATCGCCAAGCCCTTTCTCCCCTAGCAGCTTACAATACACTAGCTCACTTGACGCTAACCCCAGTGCAGTGCTACCCTGACCTCAGCTAATCTAACCTTGCTAACCCACTTCTCTCGCTAAGCCAAGTGTTTCGCTAACCCATTTCTCTATCTAACCCCGGCCTTCCCGCGCTGACCGCCGACGGCGGCCCTTTTGCAGCCGCGGCTGGCGGTCTCGATGCTAACTAAAACCTATCTGAGCACGGTGACGCTGCTGTCGGCGCGCCGGGCCGCTGCTGGCCACCTGGTGACAGACACGCGGCGCAGCATTCTGCAGGCACTGGTGGTGACCGAACCGGCCAGCGGGCGCCGGGTCAGCGCGCGGCCGCAGGTGAGGTCAGCGCGCAGCCGGTCAGCGCGGCCACATGCACCGCAGGGTAGATTCGAACCTGCTGGGTCAGATCAGAGGGTGCAGAGTCGCACGGAGCATGGAATAGGTGAGAGGAGACCACAGACTGCTGTGTTGGTGATGGGTTCCCTTAGAGGGCAATGGAACTAACTGGTAAAGGTGACGGGTGCCTTTGGAGAAAATAAAACTTCTCTTCTGGTATTGAATCTCTTCTGAGGAGAAACACTCCAGCTACACTAATTGATAGGATTTCATTTATCCGGTCTGAAAGACGGCCTGCCATTCGACGTCACAGCATCATTACTTTGGGCCCGATACGGAACTCGGGTAATTGATTGGCTCGGCCGCCATTTCCATATTGATTTCGGCCCGTCGGCGGCGGTTGGAGAACGAGGTCGGGTGACGCCGCTCGAGGTCAGAGGTCAACGGAGACGGCCGGATCCTGGATGACGTCACAGACGAACGGAATGCACCGTCCGAAGATGGTCCGACTGCTTTTGACAGTCTGCCTGAGCCCCTGACCGGCCGCCCGGTCGGTCGGTCGGCCGGTCTGTCGGCCGGTCGATCAGTCGGTCATGTGGCGGCTGTACTGACCGGTCGACGCCAATCGGGGCTCGGTAGTCGACTGACACCATTTCGGGCCGGCGCATTGCGTCGGAACAGGTCTGGGAACCGGCCCCGGACCGAACGCCATGAGACTCCCACAATAGACACGCGCAGCGGCGCACCGAATCACAACTCAGGCGAGCGTGAGCCGTACGCACGCATCCATTCAAACATCTTCATTCAGCCCGTGCTTACCAAACTCCAAACAAAGTAAAAATTAAAGCACTGTTTAACGTTTTTATTCAGCCTGTGCTTACGAAACACCAAACAAAGTAAAAAATACACTGTTTACGGACACAAATGCCGTCATTATTTTACAGCAGGATCCAGATACACGAACCTTGTAAAATAATGAAATTGTCACGATAGGTTTTATGAGGACTGAGCTGCAGAGCTAGCCGTGTAATTCACTAGCTGTCACAGAGCCGACCGGGATAAAGAGTTCGACCAGTTCCTCGACCTGGAGCCTCTGCGGAACCCAGTGGCCGATAAACCCGGTCATTGTTTGTACTACCGGTCACAGAGAGCTAGCAGAAGCGGTCACTTGTCCAAAGTTCTCTGCGCCAGCAAAAAAAAATGCTGCTTTAGTTCTAAGCCCTTTATCGGTTGAAGGTGGAGATGATTGAGCAGGTCCTCGTGATTGACAATCAGACAATTAGTGATAGGTAATGAAGTGGTTCGCCTACATTTTACGATAATCCTCTGGCTGCCCTAAAATGAACGGTAGCTCGCCAGTGCCGACTTGTTGCGAGACTCGATGATGTCGCCAGCCTCAATTGAGTGGTCTAGGGGAAATGCATGACAACATAACGATAATTTTTCCAGAATCCAGTCATACCTATATTAACTTGCACAAGCACTTGTTCACGACGTCGCAGGTCTGAAGTGCACCTTTGTATACCTAAAACCACAACATTCACTCAAAGCACAGCACATGCACCTCACAGGTACTCTGTGATGTTGTTACGCCTTATGCTGTTTTGTCATATCATATGCCATGAACATATTCTCTCGTCTCAATGTTCCCCCAACAGCAGCTTATTTCAAATTCAGGTGGTGTGCACACTGCACACAGAGGTAGCCGCAGCGTTTTCTCACGCCACCACTCCGCGCTCCGTTTCAGCTGGGCACCCGCGGCACGTCCGGCTTCGACCAGCGCTTCTACCGGACGCAGACGTACTACACGACCTTCACCTACCTGGTGCGCCGCGGCGGCCAGGCCGGGGTCACCACCTCGCGAGAGACCGTCTCCAACGTGGTCACTGTGCCGGCCACAGCCGCCGCCCGACCGCAGTCCACGCGCTTCGAGACGGCTACATACTTCACCACGTTCACCTACTTCACCACCACAACGCGGGGAGCGCAGGAGCAGGTCACCTCCTCGCAGGAGGTGGTGACGCGCGTGGTGGTGACGGAGGCGCCGGCCACCGCCCCGCAGCAGGTCACCAAGACCTACCTGTCAACGGTGACTCTGTTCGACACGGCGTTCATATCGGGCACCCAGGTGCTCCGCAGTCGCAGCACCAGCGTCATCACGCAGCTGGACGTGGGGCCGCCGGCTGAAGAGGCGGCTGTGCGCCCGTCCACGGTCCGGCCGCCGATCCAGGCCACGGCCGCGCCGTCCCCACTGGCTCCTGTCCGGCCGCCGCCCGCCGTCGACCCGAGTCTGCCGCCAGTCGGCGAACAGGACGAGATCCACGTGGTGGCCACCAAGACCTACTACACGACCAGCACGTTCTACACCACCCTGCTGGAGGGCAGCGCCACCGTGGTGCGCACCAGGACTGAGGTCACGTCCCGCGTCCAGACGGAGAAGGTGACCACCCGCCTGGCGGCCTCCCATCTCAGTTCCCTGCGGGGATCGCTCACGAGGACTGTCTCGCCGGCGGTCGCGCTCACCCGCACCCCGACCCTCGGCCAGGCTGCTGCGCTGTCCACTGAGAACAGGCCGAGCCAGGCGCAGGCCACGGAAACGAAACCAACCTCGACGCTACTGTCGGGGGACTTGGAGACCGCCGGGCCAGCGGCAGGACAGGGACAGAGTGGGTTCCAGATTCCGGAGCCAGCGTCCGTGGTTGAGAGTTCGGTCCTGACTCCAGTCGAGAACGTCGACCAAACCCAGGAGCAGAGTTCTACGGACCCAGTGACCGCAAACGCTGAGCTGACATCTACAACATCTTCGGATGACGCCGGGTCAGCCAACAAGCCGACGACCGCCGCGACTGCATCTCCAGCCGCTCAGGAAACCATCGTATTTGTCGAGACCGCTTCGCCTGCCGCCGGAGGCAGCGGCAGCTCGCCTTCGAGCTCCAGCACGGCAGCTCTGACTGTCAGCACCACGCCAGCGCCCGGCAGCCCCAGCACCACCAGCAAGCCACCGGCAGAGGCGCTCGGTAATCTGGCCGGCAGTCTGCTGAGCCTGAGCGGCCTGGGCGCGGCCGGACTGAGCGGCATCAACATCGGCTCCATGGTGGACACGGCCGCCGGCCTGTTCCGCAACGTGCTGCCGCTGGCGGTGCGGCGCGACGGCTCGGCCGGTGTGCCGCCGGAGCCCGTGCGGCCGCCGCCCGCCGTCCAGGTGCAGCAGAGGAACCCGGCCTTCATCCCGGTCGGCGGGCTGGCCAACAGTCTGCGCCGTGAGCAGCAGCTGGCCACCGCCGAACCTGCAGGGCTGGGCGGGCCCAGCGGACCGGTACTGGCTGTGCGCGGCCCAGACGGGCAGGTGATCCCCATCAGGGGAGTGCCCAGCACCGGCCGCCGCCCACCGCAGCGCTCCGGCGTACCGGCGCGCCGCCAGGACCGGCCGCGCCGTCCAGGCCCGCTTCGCCGGCCTCCGGGACCCAACGGGCGACCGCTGCGGCCGGCCAACCGCCGCAAGCAGCCGCCACCGCCAAACGGGTTCATTGCCGTGTTCCCCAACGGCCAGGAGCCGTCGCGCGGCCAGCCGGAGGAGAACTTCCTGCAGCTGGAGCGGATCGAGGACCGGCCCGGCCAGCCGTTCCAGTTCCAGCTGCCGCACCAGCTCGGCCCGGCCGCCGGCTCCACCCGCGTCCACGTGTCCATCACCACCGGCGCAGAGACGCAGTTCGTCCGACCGACAGCTGTCGACGGCCGGCCGCCGTTCTCGGCGCCCCAGCCGCAGCCGGTGGTCGTCGTCGGTGCGACGCTGGCTTCGGAGTTTGACGCCAACCGGAGGGTCGATCAGTCGTCTCCAGACTCGGGCAGTCAGCCGACCTATGTCGAGGCGGAGCTCGGTGGAAACACAGGAGGCTTCAGCAACGAGCTGACCGGCCAGGGTTTCACCGGGCAGCAGGAGTTCCTCGGAGGCGGTTTCGCCGACCAGCAGGGCCTTGATGACCAGGAGTACGCGGCCAGCGTACAGGGTCCGTTCGGCACCGGCCAGCTGACGTTCTTCGACAGCTCGGACGGCGGGTTCCAACCGGACTCGGAGCGACGCAGGCCACTGGTCCGACCACCGGTACCGGTGCCGAACCAAGTCCTCTGGCCGCCCAGGAGCACCTCCACGCTGCACACCACCGCCTCGCTGGAGGGCGACAACAGGATCGTTGGCACCAACGTGTTCGCCGACGTGGTGCCCATCACCACCCGGCCGGCGGTGATCCAGTTCCAGCCGAACCCCAACAGACCGCGCCGACCGCCGCCAGTCCGCCCGGCCCCGTCCGCCCCGGCATTGACCCCACAGGTCACCCGAGGACCCGAGTTCACACGGCCGCCGGCCCCGGCATCCGCTCCGGCTCCAGCCCCTGCTCCGGTTCCGGTCCGGAATCGGATTCCTAACCAGGCGACCCTTGAGGTTCCTGTGCCGATCTCCGGTCAGGTTCCTGTTCCGGTGTCGATTGTGATCCCCGCAAGGAATCCGGTTCAGTCAGGAGGAATCTTCAACAGGCCTAACACGGAGTCCGTCATCCGAGTAACAACTGAGGAAGCCATAACGGAGACGTCGCCATCAGAGGCACCGGAGATAGGCGCTCCCCAGGAGCCCCGTCCCGACGTGGGAGGTGACGACCTGGAGCTCTCTGCTTCCACCGAAAGGGGCCAGACCGCCAAGAAGCCTCAGCAGACCTCGGGTTCCATCTCCGGCGACGAGGAGAACAACAAGATCAACTTCATCGTCACATCGAGCTTCGAGTCGTCGACGGCCACTCCGACTACCACCGGCACTCCGAGCCTGGCGTCCACCCGCCAGCCCATCCGGCTCGCTGACAGGATCCGGCAGACCCTGCTGGCCTCTCTGAGCAGCGCAGCTGCCGCCTCCGCCTCGGCCTCCTCAGCGTCCTCCTTCTCTCCCTCCTTCCCGTCTTCCACCGACCTCGGCAGTGACGCGGGATCGTCCGTCCGCATCGGTTCCACCACGGCCATCCTGGGCCCGGACGTGCGCACCCTGCGGCCCGACACTCGGACGACCAGCCGCCACCACAGCTCGGAGACGGTGATCAGGGGCGAGTCGACCGTGTTCGGCGGCCTGTTCACCCGGCCGGCGCTGCCTTCGGAGAGCGTGCACGACATCACGGAGATCGTCAACGGGCCCGGCCACCAGCCGGTGACCAAGTACATCACCCGGACCGAGCAGTTCACCCGCACCGTCACCGCCACCAAGACCGACATCCGGTTCGAGGTAAGATCCCAGCGTTAGACCTATATTAGCAGTCAGTGTCCGCTGATTGGACAGCAGGGGAAGTCATTCTTAGTATTTTGTGCCATTTGCTGGCAATAGTCGAACTACGAAAGATTGTCGTTGGTTTCCTTCCTGAAGGTGGAGCTCCAGAAAGTCATTGATCTAAATAATCAATCTTTTGCATTGCGAATATGAATAAACGAATAAAAAGTGCGCAGTGCAGTGCGTATTCAACTGTTCGAGACAGCCTCGCTCACCTTAGCATCCCTTTCTGACGCAGACCCCTTTCATCACCCTCAGGGCAGTGCGGTGGTAACCAGCACCAAGGTGATCACCAGCACCCTGCCGCCCATCACCATCGTCTCCACCGTCATCGGCACGTCCACGCAGATTCACACCCTCAACACGGCCACTCCGACTCGGGTGGAGCCTCTGCGGACCGCCAACACCTCCACCCGCCAGCCCCCGACGCCATCCACCCCGCCACCACCTCCGCCGCCACCCCGCCGGCCTGAGCCGACCACGAACCGGGAGCGAGAGCGGGAGAGAGACAGGGTATCCGTGGCGGGCGTCCTGCTGGCGGACTCGATCGACCTCGATGGCGCCCAGCAGGGCATCACTGACGACAACGAGGTCAACCGTGTGGTGATCAGCCCCGGCGCCGGCCAGCACCTGGTCGTCGAACAGGCCGAGGCGGTGGCCACGCGCTGCCAGAGACCCTGCCTCGAGGCCATCTTCGAGACCTGTCGGCCCATCGGCGGAGTGTACCAGTGCGCCTGCAGACCTGGCTTCGCTCGCGCTCGGGAGCAAGACCCCTGTGAACGTGAGTCGCGCTCTGGGACATTTGTATTCTCAGTCTAATGAAATTGATGCCACATTACGTGATATATGAGGTTTATTTATCACTTTGGTTGTGATTTTCGACTGCACACCATGAATGTTTAGTATTTCTATCCATTGCTACCTCTCACACCCAGTACCAGCCATTTCTGACGTCTTCACCCTCCCGTTTCCAGCCACGCTGACGTACCGCCTGCAAGTGCTGCTGGACCGTGTGAACGACATCCCGCTGTCGTTCCGGCCCCAGTTCGCCGACCGCTCTTCGGCCGAGTACGAACAACTGGCGCGCATCACCGAGCGCGGCCTCCAGGAGGCGCTCATCGACACCGAGCTGGGAGACCGGCTGCACACGACCAAACTGATGGGCTTCGTGGAGACCGAGGCGGCCGGCGCGCCCGGCCTGCCACGCACCCGCCCGCCGCCCAGCCTGGACGGCCTGCTGGCAGAGCTGATGGTTCAGGTGAGGACCGGACGATGGTGAGCTAGAAGTCTCAGTAAGAGGCGTGCGGTATGGTGAACGGGTGAACACACCCTCATGTCCCAGTGGGAAATGGAGAATGTACCCGTCTGGTTCACAATCGGTCGCTGTCAGTACTGGGGTTGGAAGCGTAGCGGTTGCGTCAGCCTGCATGGGAAGTTCCCGATGTCTTTCGCCACTCGCGTCTGTGTTGTCAGTGGCTCAGTTCACATATAAATCATTTCAAATGTGAGCGAACTGTCAACAAATAAATCGCCTCAAATAAAAATGAACTGTCAGGACGCTCGCATCAGCCGATTGCCTGGAAAAGTGTTTGGATATACTTCTTGCAAAGCATGTCGACGACCACTGAGACTAGGCCAACATGACCCCACCTGACCTGACCTGACGCCTGCTCCCCAGGTGTCTGAGCGGGAGAGCGACTCCCTGGACCGGAGCTCCCTGCGGCACACGCTGGCGGAGGCGCTGCGCAGCACCAACTACTCGATGGGCGGCCAGCAGCTGGTCGTGTCACAGCACAGCGACGCCATCACCGCTCTCGGTGAGTGCTACAGACAAACAGGAGTCCCCGGTGAGGTATACGGCGTTCAGTCCGAGTTTTGTCAATACCTGTCGCAATTCACTGATCGCATCCGCTTAGTAGTAGAGGGATGTCAGATTGCAAAGGAAAGCGGACCGGCTTAGTCGTGCCGATGCTCAATAGTTATTTAACGAGATTTCCTCGCATAGCAGACACAAGTTCCAAGATGTCCGAGAGGTCACAGCCGTGTGTTCTTCGCTCACTCGTTGACTCCCCCTGCAGACTTTGACGAGTGCCAGGACGGCGACTACAACGACTGTCACGAGCAGGCCTTCTGCTACAACCTGGCCGGCACGTTCACCTGCAGCTGTAGGGACGGCATGGTCGACCTCAACGTCAACGACGCGCCCGGCAGGGCCTGCTCCAGTGAGTGCTGACTCAGCTGACTTTTCGAGCTCAAGGGCGGCAGTCTCGGTTCACTATTCTGGCCAGTGTGCGTTGATAAAGAGGGTCTTTGGTCACCTAGCATCTCCTAAAAGCGTAACTAGAATACTGTCGAACCTCCTGCTCTTTGATCGTCGACTGCTTAACCTGCCCCTTTTCCCGCCCCTTTTCAACCCTTCTTTCCCGTGTCTTCCACAGCCGAGTCGGCCGGCTGCAAGGAGTGCAGCTACAGCGGCGAGTGTTACGCCCAGGACGGCGGCGGCACCGGCTGCCGCTGCCACCGCTGGTACGCCGGCACTCGGTGCCAGATCAACCTGCGCGTGCTGCTGATCGCGCTGGTCACCGTCGGCGCCGTGCTGGCGCTGATGCTGTGCGCCTGCTGCTTCCTCTGCTGCCGCCGCCGCCGCGGACGGAGCCACGTCGCGCCGCCACTCGGTAGGTTCGATGCGTAAAGGAGGGGGCCGGATGAAGTGTTAGGTATACACCTTGATGCTGCGTATCCCATTGATTCAGATCACCTTGCTGATGTACGAATATGGAGACCAATGCGTAACATGGGCTGTGATGACGAGGAGATATTCTAGCAGCTAGCCCCGAACCTCGTATAGGCATCACCAACAGCGACTAAAAGCTTATATGAATTTCCTCCACGGACGTGGTTCCTGTAAACGAGGAGAATGTGGGTGTGCCATGCTCTTTTCTCGCTGACGTTCGTCCCTCTTTTGCAGTATTCACGGGTCCGGCTGGCTTCCTGCGACACCGCGGCACCGACCTCGGCAACCCGGTCCTCGACCGGAGGGCGATGCTGGACAGCAGCAGCGACACCAGCGCCACCAGTCCGCCGCGGATGGTACGCAAGCTGATAACTCACACTCACACCACCACCGATCGTAGGGCGCTGCGAGCGCCAGATATACTGCGCTCAGCTTTCAACTAATGCCTTTATAAAATATTGTGTGGTGTTTTTGCTTTCCATCTTGACGATATGCTTCCATCGATTTGAAATATGAGCGAAACAAGCCTGAATTACAACTTAACGTGTTGTTTCGACAGCTGGGCGCTCCGCCACCGGTCAATAAGAGGCCGGCACCAGTGCCTCCCGCCTCTGTGGCGGGCCGCAGCCGCCGGTCAGGCCGCACCAACGCCAGCTTCCAGGAGGAACGCAGCCTGGCGAGCACGGCCATCCGACCGGCTGTGTTCATCCCGCGCGCCAAGCACCGTCACCCGCAGCCGCGGCCGGCCAGCGCCGCCTCGTCGGCGGTGCGGGTCGGCCCAGACGGCGGCGCCGACCTGCGAGCCAGCCAGGTGAGCCGGCCGACCGGACCGGGGAGGGCCGAGAAGCAGCACTGGAGGGACAGGGGTGATAGGTAGCCGAGCCCGCATTGTTTTAGAATTGTGGACGTGGAGTGACCGCTCTGCTTTTGAAGATTTATTTCTTGCAGAGACGCTCAATAGAGAAACCGCATTCATGTTGTTGGCCTTCGGTGCCTTCAGCCCCCGATAAACCTTTTGCTCGCCATTTGACCCACCGGCTTCCCACTAACGCCCTGCCACTCTGTGTCGACAGTCACGTCTGATGAGCGTGCTGGAGCCGGCCGGTCGCGGTCGCATGCGGCCCCGCGCGGGGACCTTCACGGCGCCCCAGCGCAGCGCGCGCAGCGTCAGCGGGGGCCGCCGACCGCGGCGGGAGGAGGCCGTCAGCCACCATCCGACCGGGCGCAGTCGCAGCTCAGACAGCCTCAGTCTGAGGGCCGAGTCCATCGGCGGGGACGCCGACTACAGAGCCCACTCCTTCTTCAGGGAGAGGTCAGTACAGGGCGCGAACAGACGGGAAAAAGTAGGAGGGACGGGAGGAGCGTTTGGGTAGGTAGAGGACGCAGTGTCGTGGGAGAATGTTCATTGTAAGCGCTTCGATCTTAGGTGCTAAACTGACGGCGTTACTTTAGTCAAACTTCTGAAAGAATGCGCGTTCATGCCTGAGAGATCAGCTCAAGAGGGACACAGTGTCTGCTTTGGGATTTTAGGCCGATTGGAAGTGGAACACGGGCTGTCATATGCCATTAAGACTGACCTATGTCGACACGCGATCAGGCTGTGACTCGTCGCATAAATTGGTAAAATATGACAACTACTCTTGGATGACAAATGCATCCAAGGCCGGGCATATTGGCCTGATCTACATATTTTCCAGTTTAATAAGTACCTACTTGGGTGGAAGCGTAGATCTATTATCGCAAATTCGCAAGTTGAGTCCCAAATTCGGTCACATGGAAGGTATGCACTATGCAATACATGCCGTAAAATGTGGGTGTTCGTAGAATGACACTTGTGCTACCAGCCAAGGAAAAGTTCCCACTTTGGTAATTGGGACGTCCACTGACAAATGGTTACATTGTGCGGCAAGGCCGTTATCGGATCAGTCTGTGACACGGCCCCCGCTCGTTCCGTTCCAGGACAATGTCGGAGGCACGCTCGTACGACGAGACGACGATCCGGCCGAGTGTGCGCAGTGTGCGCGGCTACGGCACCCAGCGCAGCCGGCGCAGCTCCCTGGCCGGCAGCTCACAGATGCTCACATACGTACGTAGCACAACTTCATTTCATTTATTCATACACCACCAGCGGGCAGTACCTCAATGACAAACGAAGTCAATAGTTAAAAATGGACAAAAACACCGCAAACAAAACAAAGTACAATGAACGGCAAATAAAATGAAAAAGTTAATGCAATAACGTTAACAATCGAAACAACAGTAGCTTCTGTCACGTAAACTGGGCACTAAAAGCAAACCGCGAAAAAGGGACACGTGCCAAACTTTCCCGGCCACCCTACCCTGCGAACTAGCATGCCGATGCTCGCGACTTTGAATGGCTTTGTCATATCAAACTTCAAGCTGAGGACGTGAATAAGTCAGAAGTGATTGTATGATAATCGCATGACGGGCGCACGGTTTTCCCTTGGCTATCCTTTCCTGTGTCCTTGGAGCCAATCGAACCCGTCGTCGGTGCATCAGCCTATATCGCGGAACACCAGGAAATATTGGTGTCTGAGGCGCCCCGACCGACCCGTCCCCGGAACAGATGTGTGCTCTATTCCGCCATCACGTGCCAGTTGGTGACTGAGCGTCCGACTTTTCAGGAACATCATACAATGGCCGAACGGGACGCGGCGTCCACATTCGTGATGCCGGAGACCCAGCTCTTCCGGCCTCAGGCGGTACGTCCAGTGACCACTAGCACAGTGCACTAATTTGTTCTTATGCCGTTGATCGGTTTTTAAGGATTGAACTTACTTAAGCTAATGACATTGCTGTGAAAAATATGCGGAAAGCGATCCTTCTTACATAGCCATGGCATTGGGCACTTTCTAGAGCCATGAAGCTTCGCATGCTAATCGTCTTCTGACGCTCTATGTAGGTATGCATAAGGCTGGGAACGCCAATGCAACCGGGAACCGACCGGGCAAGTGGCATGCAAGTCGTTATAAAAAGGAGTCAATCTCCAATGGCTTAATAACTGTCCTTTGTTTGTTTTATTCGGACCACTTGTTTATTCAATGTTAATTTGAAAAGACTGGTCACCATCACTGTTTGACCATGTTTGCAGGTGCACGATCCATTGTTTTAGCGGTGATTCAGCTTAATTGTTCGATTCACCCAGCAAATGTGTCACCACCATACCAAATGTGTCAGTGAGCGATGATGCATGCCTTTTCCAAGGAAAGTTTCGACGTACTGTTCAGTCTTACACAAAGACCAGCCTGCACGCCCGCCCCTGGAGCGCCCCCGTCTGACCGGTGCTGTCTGTCCCACAGGACTCGGACGCGCTCTCCGAGTTCAGTGTGGTCGACGACTTCCCTCAGATCCACGGACGGCGCAGCTCTCGCGCGGCGTCGGCCGCCGGCAGCCGACGGGGCCCGCGGTGAGGCCGCCGAGACCCGCCGACCTCGTAGTGACCCGCCGCGCCGGCGCGGCGCGGACGCCGAGTGAACTATTTATTGGTGCGCGCCGCGCGGCGGCCGACGGGCGGTCGGCCGGGCCGCGGTGGGTGCGGCCCCGGCCACCCGCCGTCGTCCGATCACATCACACACAGGGAGGGAGACGCCGCTCCCAGTCGCTTTAAGTTGTTATTCGTTATTCCTTGTGCTGCCGGGTGCCGTCTTCGGGTGCCGTCGGTACCCAGCCACTCGTATGTGTGAGAGGTACTTGCTCAAGAGTTCTGCCCTCTTCTCCGTAGTGAATCGAGCCGTGGAGAGTAGATGCAGAGTTGCGCGTAGTGAGTGATATTGGTCGTTTTGTACATACCTCCACAGTCAGAGGGCCTGTGTTGTTTTGTTCGTGAGCAGACGGTGCTATCCAGGGTGTGTGCTCGGAAAAGTGAAGATATTGTGATTGTGCCAAACTAAGTTTGTGCTCTACCTATGCTAGAACAGGACGCGAAACAGACACCTGACTTGTGTACATAGAACTCGACAGCCGCTGACACGAGATGGGCCGTATGAACGCCCCTCACAGGGAATTTCCAGTAGGTGGTGGGATCAAATCGAAAATGTGATGCGCCAGAAATAATATTTTTATGTGCATGAGAGATCATTCGTGAAATATATGTTTATAATATAATTCCATTCTTTATTTTCGAAGAAGGAAAGAATGAAGGACATGAGCCGGCAATAAGTGGAACAAATCAACAACCTCTATGTCAATAAATGCACACATAAAAACGACAGCGTAAACCTAAGGTTGGTTATTGTTCCATAAATGAAAGCCGTCCCAAATGCCTTGCCTACGCTTTACCAGCCTCGCACCCAAGAAAAAATTTAAAATGCAGGTTGGCAACAACTTCAACACCAAAGCAGGTCAAACAACACCAAACAACGTCAATAGCATGCTAACAATTCATTTTTTATAGGGTAGGTGAAAGTTCTGGTCACTATTAAATTGATAAATAAATAAATCAAACCTAAAATTTTGACAAATTTTGACGCTCTTGGATGAATAGACTTGTACCTCGTGAACTAAAATAGCTAATACATCCCTGAAAATAGCAAGTGAATGCCTTTCAACGCTCTTTTACAAGCATAACTAGTCTAACTTTTGACCCACGTTTAACGGTTTGAATTGAACTTCATAGGGCAGCATCCCACTAGACTTACACACTGCGGAAAATGATTTTTTTTTGTAATACCGAACATTTCACACAAAGCCGGCAGCTCATTTTCTCTAGCAGCATCGTGACTCCATGTTAGTCTTTGGGACATTGCAGCCTGAACTCGATTCGATCATCCTTGAAGATCCCTTACGAGCTCGTTGTATCAAAACTAACCATTTTTGCAAGCTCTTCGTCGCCAAAATTCACTTCCACGTTCAAGTAAGGTACAAAAGAACAACTGCCTCCATTTATATGAGCGACATATATGTCGCTTTACCGTATACGGTAAACCTAACTCTTAAAACGGAAACCAAGCACAGTCCATACACAGGAAACTTTGGGCACATCAGCATTGGCTGTAAAACACTAGCCAACTTCCCTGCCGCATATCCGGGATGCGATCACAATGCACGGATGCTCCGATCAGGCAGGAAATGACAGCGAACACTCTGGTACTGCTAGTCGACAATGGCGGCTGATTTACACCTGGGACCGGCAGTCGCACGGCGATATACGGAATGGAATGGGCCAGGGCGGGCCGGACGGACGGGTCCGGGGCGCAACCCGTAGGAGTTGGCGCGAGGAGTTGGCGTAGGAGTTGGTCCTGGCGCGAGATAGACACGAGATCCGGGTGCAGGACAGACGGACCCGGGCTGGGGCGTCGAACAGATGAGCCCGGAGCGGACAGGTACGGACAGCGATATTAGTCACCCATCGACGAGCATCCACCCGGCCCAGCCGCCGCGCCGGTCCCGGCACGCCACACGGGTGCCGCCGTCGGCAGGCACGGGCGTCTCCGTCTGATGACTCACCCAGCTGCACGGTATCAGACGCTGATTCAGCTGCCAAACACAGCTAAACTGATGGGCTGGAAATACCAGTAATGCGCGCTTATTAGAAAGCGTTTCAGCATCGCCAGAATTGCTTTTTTCAGGCGTGTTTTGTTGGCTTTATCAGCAGTGCCATCATGAGCAGTCAGCGCAATACGCTTTTTGGAATATGGCGCATGTGTGTTAACGTATGTTGACGTGCTCCGAATGATTCTGGAGCAATTATGTCCTAAGAACCTACAATTCGTCGAGGACCAGAACAGTGGAAATGACAAAGCTTTTTAGTTCCGTGATAAACGTCTAAAAAGATAGCTTCTCAAAGAGCTTACTATTTAATGATAAAATATGCATACGTAGATCGTATAATATCGACGATAAGTTATCGATATTACAAATGTTAAGCTATCCTTGCGTAGGTATACGGCTGTTACAACAAAAATGATAAACAGATACAGCATCAAAGCATCATCATAAAAGTACATAAGTTTGGTGGCAAAGTTTTTACATAACTATATCTTAAGTCCCCATACATGTTCATAGCATGCGTTGACGTCGCAATTTGTAGTTGCTCTAGCAGAAGTGATAGTTACAAACTTTTGCAGATAACTGTCATGTTATTCCGATTCTAATGGTATAGGTACAGAGCAAAGCATACAAGACTTGTTGGCGTGTCATAAAAAGCCGCCTGTGGTAAAAGACACGCATTAAATACTCTATAATGAGTGATTCAGCTCACAATGAATGACAATGCTGTCAAGGCAAGAGCAATTAGTGGAAGCTTGGCGCGGCTTTGCTTACGATATGCCAATGGTGGTGCACTGCGGTATCTGATGTTTGATGGCGAGGTTCATAAATAATAAATACCTGACCGTTATGTGCAATTTTATGCCACAGGAAGCACAGTTGTCGTATCATCAATTTTCTGCCGTTATTCTTGAATTGTGTACACGATATTTTCACGGGCAAATAATGCCGTGCACAGGACTTCCTGTCTGAGTAACTGTCAATTAAATTGATGTGGAAGCGACGCTGCCATGCTGGTGGGACATAATGACCTGTTTCTGCGAATCTAACAAGAGCGTGAGCTGAAAAGAAGCGAGCAGAAGGAAAACGGCGCCGCCCCGGGGAAAAGAAGCGACTCGGTCACCAGGCTCCCACATGCGACCGAGCTCGAGTCGCTCCCAAAAGGTGTGGGAGAAGGTACCGAAGGTTATCCGGCCAGAACTGGTTCTGGAAACTTCCAGATTCCCACTTTCCTGGTGTGCGTCAGCGTGGGATGCTGGCAGCCATTAGCGGGCAAGTACGGAACAGACAGACTTGCCTCCGAGTTAATAGTGAAAACTGGAAATGACAATACCAGTATAAAACGCCTTTTGGGGCGACCAACGGAGCGAGCGAGAGGGTGGGCCTTGCACGTGCGAAATTGTGAGGGTGCACCTCCACTAACTTGTGCACTGCAATCTACTAACCGATCCCTAGCGATGTGCCAAATTTGAGCGCAATCGGCCTAGCCGTTGTCGAGATCTGGAAGCGGCACTCTGCACGTGCGCACATGCAAAATGGGTCCCAACTGACTTTTGCACGGCACCCTACTAACCGGTCCCTAACCATTAACCAAATTTCAGGGCAATCGGATCAGTCGTTCTCGAGATCTGGAATCGACCCCTGCACGTGCGCACGTGCAGCAGCACCCCAACTGTGGCACATGGATATGCATTGCCTAGTGGGAGCCATATAGGCGGCGGAACGTGGGGGCACCGGGGCACCGTGCCCCCCACCCCTTGATGGTTTTGCCATTTTAACATCAGACCTATGGGCGTTGCATGGAAAGAATGGGACCATAAGTCGGCAGTGCCCCCCCCCCCTAAATTGAAGGTGTTCCGCCGCTCCTGGTGGGTGCCTACCTACATGCCAACTTTCAGCGCGATCGGCCCAGTAACTATGTAGTTACCGAGATATTGCAATTGTTACCACACTGACACCTCTTCGTTTTGTACGTGGCACGTGCATACGGGGTCACCCACATGCATCGGAAATGGTCCAATACTTGGTAGAAGGAATGAAGCTACCAAAAAAATACCGCATGTAAATCGGTCAAGATGTTGCTGAGATATAAGCCTCGCAAAAGCGTCCGCACGGTCGGCCGGCCGGCCGCTCATGCTCAGAAATTTCTAAGAAAATTTCAACGAAAGACTACGCTCGCTTCGCTCGCTCCGTAACAAGAATGACTTCTGCTTATAGTGAGATGTAATTCGGGCAATGATCATGGAGGTGGTCCGATCAAAGCGTATCGAGACCGGGGAGGGGTTTTGACGATTCGCTCTTACTTGGATCGTGAGCTATGTAACGACAATAAGTAGGTATGTGGTCTTCCCAGATGCTTACAAAGGATAAAAGAAACGAGACATACCTAATTCAATTAATTTATTGTATTGACTAATGGCATTTGGCAAATTAGTAAAAACAGGATGCATAGTATCTTTTGAAGCAAGCTTTTCGGAACGTTTGTAGATATAACAATGCAAATAACTAATGGTTGTTTGCCATTTGTTTAATCAATGTGGCTTACCTAATATCGTTACCGTTTCGAAACAAATTAGTCTCGTACTAGGGTTACCCGCGTTGCAGCTGGTTTTATTCTCCAGCGTTCCTACACACTTTTGTTCAAAGAAGCATGAAATGAAATTAGGCAAGTCGTGAATTCATCACGAAGAGTGTCTTCACGAAAAGATGTGGATGTTCCAGTTCTGCTCGTTAATTTACCCACAGTTAGTCAAATCAGCAGTGGCGCATGACCACAGTGAGTCGGTGTGTATGCTATAGGGGCTCTGCGCAGTACTAAAATACCGTACCTCTGTTCCTGCAGGTGGCCAAAGGGTGGTGCAGAGTGAACAATGCATTCGTTGCTAAAATGTAGGTAAGTACGTTCAAAAGTCTGCGGATATTATGCTGTGCTGGTTGTGCCGTACCTGGCTGTCAGTGACGCTCATGCAGTCGGTCGAGCGATACGCCAGCCTCCGGTACCTGTGGGTCGCGGCCCCTATCCCTGTTCTCCCGCGAGACTCTTGGCATTTTTTTTCAAGACTCTTGATCGTAGCGAAGTCACTTTCAAACAGCGAGCTAGCCCGAGCAGGTGGGTTGCGCTGCCGGACATCTTCCATAATGTTTTTTTTTTGGGGGGCGCTATACCTACTGTTATAACATTTTGGGATTCTGAAAAATCGGCATATGAAGACCCGAAGTTAGCAGGGAGGCGACAACGGTTCACATCCTATAATGATCTCCTCTGGTGAACAGAGTCCTGGGGCCATATTCACGTCGATCATTTCGCAATAATTTTCTTACGCATGAACTACGTCTTGATAAATTTTTTAGTCACGTGACCTCCATCGGTAAAAGCTTAAGTGTCGACGTGAATACCAAATTATACTTACAAAAGAAAATCGACTTACAAAAGAAGTCGACCTGAATACGGCCCCTGGACAAATCCCAGACGGGGAAAGGCCATCCAGACATCATATTCATTGCAAACTCGTCAGCAATTGGAAGCCGTGATCGCTAATCTACACCAGCTGAGCCGAATTCGAAGGTTCCACCTCTGACAGGAGGCCGACTATGGAGGAGCGCCGATGACCTTGGCA